ATATATATATATATATATATATATATATATATATGATGAAATGAAACCTCTGTGATGGCACTGGAGCTTAGCACAGTGCTTGGTTGAGTTGTGCTGGTGTGACAAGAGAGGACAATGACAAAGCGAATGGAGGAGCTGGTGTAGGAGAGGTAGTATTGTTCGCAGTTCGTATACCACTCAACAACTACAACTATTTTCAAGGTTTCCAGTAAAACTCTGGTTGCAATTTGATCCTTCAATTGTTTTAGTGTACAACAATGACAAAAATAACTCTACTCCATCCCTGTCACTCTTTTTCTCTTTTTTCTTTTTTAATTTACCCTCTCCACCATCTTCATTTGAAATTTTTGGTTTTCTGTTTTCTCCTCAATCAGTATAGTGCGCCAATAAATACAAAACAGAAAAAAAACGCTTGGTTTGGTCTAAATTGATTTGTATAAAATGCGTTGTGACAAACATCTAGATTAGTACACACATCAAATGAAAAGAAGAAGAAGAAAAAAAGTCACAAATCATTAAAGGCACATCAATCTATATGTGCAGACAAGAAGACAAATGCAGTATTCACAGACAAAGTGCGAGACCAGTAGGCGCAAAAGACAATGCCTATAGTGTTTAGAGGAAATTAATAAGCAGAAAAACGGTTAGACAAATCAATTGAATATTGCTGCTTTAGCGAGCAATAGGCAAAACGGTGACTTGCCAAAACAGCGTAGAAGGACTGACAGAGATACAGGGCAAATCAGTTAGACCAATAGATGGTCAGATAGGTGCAGATGAAACATCAAGAAAAAAATACAGATGACAAAAGTTTCGCCTGCGAGATCCTTAACGGTTAATTGCAGTCAGCTAAAAGCCAAGACGGATGAGTCGAAGCTCAACAGGCAACAACTTTTGTATTCTCTATCAGTCTGTCTGTCTCTCTCGACTCTATCTGTCTCTCAGTACCTCTGTGTTGCATCTGTTTGTTAAATGAACAGGCAAAACTCACACCTTAGTGTATGATAAACAGACAGACCGACAGGGGGACCGGCAGGCAAGTAGGCTTGGCCAACTTCACAGACACCTCATCATGGTTTTTGAACAAAACACTAACTCTCAAAATTACTGTGTGTATATGTGTGTCATTATTGAAATCAATAATTCCTGCACATAAACTCAAATGCTATTTTGCTTACTTTTCGACTTCAGTTAATTCATTTTTGTTTAAAAAAAAAAATTGTTTCAAAAACTAAAAATGAGATGAGAAAGAAAAAGGAAAAAAAAGTAGAAGAGTAGAAAAAACTGACGAGAAAAAACGATGAAGATTTTTTTTTTTTTTTGTCCATCCAGACAGGCATTAAAATTATCTTTTGATATGACAGACAGTTACTGCAACCGTACATATTAATTAGAAAAAAAAAGTAATCCTCAGTCATACGAATTGAAGAAAACGAAATA